AGATTGTAAATCCTGGAAGGCCAAAGCAAAACAGAAAATTCTCTTATTTGAGTTAAACTCTACAATGCAGATTATGCTGTGAGAGAGCACTGACACATCCAATACACTCCAGATTTTGGAAGGTAATTTCCGTCAATTATCCTAACGAAAAGTATCAAGTATCCCTCTATCACTGTTGCATGTTTGCCAGTCTCCGAGTTTCTTGTAGTTCTGTGAATATTTAATAATTGTATAATTTGGATGTGCTGGAGTATACGAGTGTTAGGTAATAAATATTACTGCCGTAGTCTACTGGCTAATCAAGAAAGGTAAATTGCCTAAGAATCTTTAACTATTGTTATTTTTTTGTTTTATCCTAATGGGTATGAGGTATTAAAATAGTCCAACTAAATTTATTAAAATCAATTTTGAGTTTTGTAAATATACTGACCGACAAAAACACGGTCACAGTGAAATATTTCGCAAAACCACTTTAAAAACTATACACTCCCAGACAAAAAACCCAGGCACTTGAATTTTGTGTGATTGCCTGCAAAAAGGAAAATATGTTCATGTATTCATTAACAAGAAACAAAAAAAAGTTATAACACATAACTCTAAACAGCGTAAAGTTACAAATATTCAATTGTCCGAGTTTTTTTGTCTGGCGGTGTATTTTAACTAGCTAACATTTATTATATGGATAAATCTGGCCGCATAGAGCTGCTGCATTTTGTGCTTGTGTTGAATATAATACAGTTTTTACACAGCCCCAGAATTTATGGGTCCTGCTGTACCAATCCATTGTTGATTATATTCATTGTTTAAGTAGCGAACCACATCATGGTGAAAATATGCTGGGGCATCGTCTTGCATATACCATAAATCATTTCTCTTGACCAAAGACAAAGCGTCTAAAAGATTTTCAAAATCCCTCCGAAGAAAGTTATCTCAACTATCTTCAACAATGTAATTTCTGTAAATCCTATCTACGGAAAACAGATGTTGACTGTTAGAATTTCGAAGATTTATTAACCCATTTCGAGAAAAATTTTACTCGACAGTAAAAAGGATATTTTCAATAAGATTTTCATTTTCCTTGTTTCTGTGCAAGAGCCATCTACAGAAGTTCATTCTACGCTCGTAATCGTCTGGTCGTAAAGCTTGAACCCGATTGTAATGATATGGATGTAAATTTTCGTGATGTAAGAGGTTCCATACCGTCCAGGTCGAGATAACAACATCACGATTAATTCCACGAATGCTTAAATTTGGATCTTCAATTACCTTATCCAATATCAGCTCATCTCTTTCGACGGCATTGGCATCTGGATTCCTTCCAATAAACCAACAGAAGAATAAGTCATCCGCCAAAATCAGTCTTATCTGGGAAAGTACTAGCCCCCCGCCCATCCTCCCTTATTTTCTTAGAGGATATGTCATTTGCTAAAATCTGTCTCTTCTTGACAACTACTAACCCCACCCACCCACCCTTTATTTTCTTAGAAGAGTGGGTCATCTGTCAAAATCAGTGTTATCTTGACAAGTACTTTAGCTTCAAAATGTCCAAAATCACAGTCTCTTGTCGGCATTTACTGTCGCATTGAAATATATAAGGCCAACAATTCAAAGCAGCAATCCAAACACCAATTTTTTGAGGCCGTAAGAAACGAAATCCACGAACGCGTTAGGATTTTCACTGGACCAAATGCGCATTGTCTGTTTATTAATATAGCCTGAAAAATAGAAGGCTTCGTCTGAAAAAAAAAACTACTTCTACAGAGTGTCATCGTTCCAAGTGGGTTTGAAACCACTGAAAATAGTTAAGTCGCCGTGAAAGTCAACTTGCCAAAGTCATTTTTGAGAATTTAATTGGCATATACCTACAACAGCCCTGTTTGTTGAGCAAGCTTTCTCAAGGGTTTTCTGGGTGAAAGATTCATTCGCTGCTGCTATACATCGTCAATAATTTCTGGTGTACTTTTAGGTGGTCTTTCGTTGCCTGACTTACGAGTTACTGTCCATGTTTCAACAAATCGGCATAAGACCATTCTCATTCACCATTTTGCTAGTTTGTCCCACCTCTGTAATAACTTTTATTATTGAAATTGTTTGTTCTGTATCAAACTTAACTTCAGATTAACAGATTTAAATAATTATATTATATTTTTTTAATGAATTCCAAAGTACACTTGACAGGTTTTTTTTTTGGATCATGTGGTAATTCCCTCTATTCCCGAGTCAAACTGTTTTCACCAAGTTTACCATAAATTAAATCTTACTAATCATGGGTAACGAAGTTGTCAACTTTTAAAGTTCGAATGTGTCATTCTAAACGCGTTTCTCCTACCCTCGTACAAAGAACCACCACGACCCGCCGCTGCCAGGACAAGCAGCCAACCTTTTTTCTTAATGGATACCCTGCATAAATTAATTAAATATTCTATCAAAGACCGTTCATCGAGCGTGAAAGATTCCATTCTTTATCCCGTCGTATCAAAATTCCGCGGGAATGGTATTAAATAAACATCCGGCAAGTAGCTCGAACACGCTTCGTTTTAATTGATCGCAGATCATTTTAACTGTTCTTAACTGCTCGCTAATGGTTGTTAAGTTCGCGTTTGATAAATACTACTTACTGTGTTTTCTAAATCATTTGTAAATGGATTAGTCGTAGCTTGTGGCGGGTTGTTTTTGCAGAGATCGTAATAATCGTTCGTGCTTAATAACAGTATCATAGGTAATGAAAGAGGATTATTTCCTGTTGGGTGAGTGGATTGTAATAGGATCAGGATGTTTGAGATAGATGTTAGTGTCAACAACATGTAATGACGATAAAATGTATCACTCTAATGCAGTCGTTTGGTGATGTTGTTTTGGATAGTGGTTTTTAAAACTTCTTTACCTCTGATCGCTGAAGAAGTAAGAAGTGTTGAACTTATTTTCGCTAGGAAGTCGAGATGCAAAAAAGCTGTAGTAGATAGATAATTTTATTCTCACGAACTAGAAAGTAAAAGATATATCTTAAAATAAAATTTGGGTTATAATCAACGCGCGGAATTGTATCTCATACGCTAGAATCAGTGCTGTCGCGTTGATAGTTTGATTACAAATATATTTTTCTTTTGGATTATTTCAACATAATATAACATTTCAAGATCACAAATCTGTGGTCCTATGGTTGATAAATTAAAAAGGGCATCAAGTATTATTATTTGAAGTAATATAATAATATAGAAGTAGTTTTTTTTACTGGTTGAAAACACTCCTAGGGACGCACTGGCTAGGACCTTGTGGACCAGATCAAGGCGTCCCCGCTACTCGCCGTAAAACACACCTTACTTCAACTGGGGGATTGCAGCGGTGAAACAAATTCCCGCGTACTGGTTATAATATAGATCACTGGTGTTTTACAAGGAATACATTGCTTTTAAATAACCATTGAATTAAGGGGCGTAGAATAGTAATCGCAAACACTGCTTGACGTCAAGGAAAGCTTTATTTTCTATCATTTCAAGATTTCCAGTGCCAAAGCGTGCACAACCAAATTGGAAACACTATTCTCTGTCTTGATGGGATATGTCATCCTACTTCATCTAATTATTCTATGGTTATAACTTATAACCCATCTTTGTGACTTATTACAAGGTAACATTTTGCTCCATAGGAAATTGATAACTGCCAGTTACATAAAATTTTAATGCTGTGAACACCTTTGTATAGTACCCCAGGACAAGTTTCACTGGACATCTAAAAGTTGCTTATTGAACGTGACTTTTTAATTTGTTGGCCAAAGAGTTTTTTGGTTACAAAAATTGATAATATATGGTAGGAAGGAACTTATTATAGGCGGAAGATAAATAAGCATTTTAGAACTCAACCAGAAGTGTCACTGTTTGGTATCTCCAGCTAAAAGTGAATTTTTTGACGGTTCTTGTTGGTATAATTTCTTAAAATTCATAGTGCCATTTTAGCTCAGTCTTTTTTACTCAAGTTTCGAAGTTGGAGATTTTGGAGTTTATGGTTGCTGCCATATTTTGAATTTACTTACGGAATTTGAAGCAGTTTATTTCTAATCAGTGAGTTTTTCCTGTTTCTTTATCTTTCCCTTATCTTCTTTTTTTCATTGTCTTCTGTGTTTAACCTTTCCGTGGTCTATCCTATGTGTCTGTTTTATAAAAGCCACCGTAAAAGACCCTACAGGTGCGAAGAAGTGTTACAGCAGATGTATGGATTGTAAAAAATACTGTCATAATAAATGTACCGGGGTAGACATGACAAAACTGAGTGCGACAAATTCATCGGTTTGTGGAAACTGCTCTTCGGCTGCTTCTACGTCTGAAAATGTATCTTTATTAACGATTGAACAGGTTATGGAAAGACATCTTAAGAAGTTGAAGATCGATTTAAAAGAGGAACTGACTGGAGTTATCAACGCAAAGTTTCAGCAAACTAATGATAAAATATCTGTTGTTGAAGATAATGTGAAAAAAATTCAATCGGAAGTTCATCAAATACATAGATCTCCTTTGAAACATGATGTTTCTCGTAATATCAATGAGGCAATGTTGGAGATGACTGAACACAATGAATGTTGCAAAAATATATTATTATATAACATCCCGGAGTCAAGTGCGCAGTTAGCAGAAGTCAGGGTAAAAGAGGATTTGGATCAAGTTATGGCAATTCTGAATCCATTAGGAAATTTCCCGCAACCCAGGAATTTTTCCGACTCGGAGCTGTGAAAACCATGTTGCGCGTCCTTTGAAAATTGTGTACCAGAATAAAGAAGAAGCCTTGTTCATCCTACGATCCAATAGAACAATCCGAATAAACAGTTTTATTTTCGTTCGGGCTTGACAAAACGAGATTTAAATGGCGCCGTCATACAAGAATTCAAGGACCGGAAAGGAAGTGCAGAAACGGATCTCGTATTAGCATACAAAAATAACTTGGCCCAAATTTCTTGTAGCAATCGAAATGTGGCGAGACAGACAAAAAACTAAATTTTTATTTTCATAATGCCCAAAATTAAAAAATTTTCTAACAATGTTGCTATATGTGTATATGACGTCATCATCATTATAGAATCATGGTTGAACGATCAGATTTCTGACGTTGAATTGGCTTTGCATAATTCTAACATCTTTCGGGCTGATCGTAGTATTAAAACCAGTGCTAAACCTACAGGTAGGGGTTTATTAATAGCAGTTAGGAGGGACATCCGTGCTTCGATAATTTTTCGGGTCAGCTGGTTGAAAGTCTGTATTTGAAATTACAATTTAATGGTTTCAATTTGATTGTTGGTGGTGTTTATATCCCTACCAATTCTGAGGAGTTTATTTATAAAAGTCATTGTGATGATTTGGAAAGCATTTTCAGGATTTAAGTATATTATTGCTCCCAAACATCATAATGAAAGACAATTTGATAATGTCTTGTTTGGGGAATCGTAAGCGTTTTGATATGGTTGACGCCTTTTTACCTTTCAATTCAGTTGTGTTCGACTTTGGTAATGGTGATTATTGTCCTTTAAATAATTTCTTGACATCTGTTGATTGGACAACATGCTTTAATGAATTGAATTTGGACGAAAAAGTTTCTCTTTTTTACGACATTCTTTTTGATTGCCTTGATCACTGTGTTCCAAAGAAAACCATTAAAATCAATAAACATTATCCTAGATGGTTTAACAACGACCTTAGAAATCTGTGTCAACAAAAGAAGTTAGCCCATTCCAAGTATAAGAAGTCTGGTCAACTTGAAGATTATGTTTATTTTAAGACAGTAAGATTGAATAGTAAAGATCTTAAGCAAAGCCTTTTTGATTCTTACATTGCTAAGGTAAATGCTACTATGACATGTGACCCGAAGTATTTTTGGAAATTTATGAGGGATAATAACAAAGACTCTGGAATACCTAATTATATGTCTTTTGAGAATAAATCAGCTGACAATGGATTTGATATTTCAAACTTTTTTGCAGCATGTTTTTCTTTCGTTTACGTAATCAGTTCTACTGTTAACTTCGATTGTGTTGACAATGGCTTAAAGGTTACTATTTCCGACGAATCCCTAGTATAGTTTTGAAAAACTGTATTTACACTTTAACTACCTCATTATTTTTGTTGTTTGAATCATCTATTTGTGAATCTAAGTTTCCAGATTTGTGGAAAAATTGCTATGTAACTCCAATTTTCCAATCTGGTGTTAAAACAAAAGTGGAAAACTACAGGGGAGTCTGTAATCAGTTGGTAATTCCAAAGATCCTGGATGAAATAGTCTCCGTACAACTACAATGGATGTCTTCTTCGATTATTTGTGCTCAACAACACGGTTTCACTAAAGGCAAATCCTCCCTATCTAATTTGCTGATTTACTATTCTTTTATTAACAAATCTTTCCAAGACAAGATACCAGTTGATTCGATATACACGGACTTTGCTAAGGTCTTTGATAGAGTCAATCACAGTGTTTTGATCTCAAAATTGATGCATCTCGGATTTATATTAGACACTATCAAGTGGTTGCATTGCTTTCTTTCGGACAGATATCAGCAACAAGTTAAGACTGGAAATTTTATATCTCAAACTTTTGGCGTCATATCTGGAGTTCCGCAAGGGTCGCACTGCGGACCAATTCTGTTCATCCTTTTCATTAATGAGCTATAAGATTGTATTAAGTATTCTAATTTCTTAATTTTTGGGAATGACCTTAAAACTTTCAAACAAATACGTTCTTTAGAAGATGCATTGGCCTTACAGTCCGACTTGGTTGAACTTCATAAATGGTGTCTGAATAATTAATCAGTCTTTTTTGAATATTGACAAATGCTACTCGATGTCATTTTGTAACTTGAAAAATCCATTTATATACACATATAGATTAGAAAGTGTTCCTTTAAAAACTGTAAATGAGATAAAAGATCTTGGCGTAATTTTCGATTCGAAACTAACATTCAAGAGACACTACAATTACATATTCAAGAAAGCTATGAGGATGTGGGGTTTTGTATGGCGGCACTGCCATATGCTCTCGACTTCCTCTTTAAGAACCCTTTTTTGTTCTTTAGTTAGATCTCAATTGGAGTATTGTTCGCGAGTTTGGCATCCATACTTCGATGTAGACATTGATTTGCTAGAGTTCAAAAAAATTTCTTCCTTGCATTGAATTTAAATCTCATTTGGTTCATCAGCAAGGAAATTATGATAACGTAAGAAAACTCATGAATCTGCAAACGTTAGATCTAAGGGGGACTTTAGCAGCTGGATGTGTACTCCACGAGCTTATTAATTCTTATATAAACTCACCATGTCTACTGTCAAAATTATCTTTTTATGTTCCTCATTCTGATGTAAGTAGCACTCGTAGTTTTAAAATTTTTAGGCTGCCTTTATCGAAAACTAATTTATCTTTAAATCATCCAATTACGAGATTTATGGAATTAGGAAATAAGTTTCCTTCGTCTAATTCATTTAATTTATTTGGGTCTTCAAAATCTTTATTTAGAAAAAGGTTCGTGTCTGTTATAGGTAAAATTTAGTTAAGTTCATCACTTTATGTATAAATTGAATACTAGTTCTTTTAGATTTTGTACATATTTTTAATTTCTGTGTTATTAAAATATCAATGTAAATAGGTGATTTCCGTAATAATAAATATCTAAATATCCATTTAGAAATAGATAATCTAGATCAGGTGTTTCCAGTGGAAAACAAGCTATGTGAAGCCACAACAGCGTTTATGGAAAAGAAAAAACAAGAAAAGTAAAAAAAAACGCATTTGTGTTAAAAGAAAACGACATTTCATGGATTTTGTTTCCCCAAACTGATTACATTTATTAATTAAGCTACACTGGAACAAAACGTTCGGCATATTATTTTGAGTAAGCAGCTGTTATTATGATAATTAACATTTTATTATTATTAAATATAGGTGGCCACAACTATACTATATTCTCACATTATCGACCAAATGGCATCAATCGTTCTTAATTTCCGTAGCTTCATATAGAGTGTGTTAACAAGAAAAAAAAAATAATAATAAAAAACAAAAACAAGACGTGTTCATAAACCACAACTACCACAATAATTACAAAAGTATCTTTTGTTGACCGTCGGGAAGTAACAATAGAACATACTACGTGGAATTAGGAATGAAAATTTAAAAAGTGACGAAAAATAAATCACATGTAGGCAATTTTATTTATACAGTGTCTACAAAGTAACAAGGGACCTAACCAGTACCAGTACATTTATTTGTTCGAAAAGGAAAACTGTAAATTCACATGTATTGGTGCCCATTACATCGAGGATCACATACCAGGAAACTGATTTAATTTTGTTGTGAAGCAGATTATATGAAAGGGAATTATCAACAAACTATGAAGTGTATTGATGGACGAAAATTACATCTAATCAGCAATTCGAAATGGTTGAACGGAAGAGGATACACACTCTTCCATAAAAATTAGATATTAGAGAAATCTACTCGGTACATTCTCTAAATTGAGACAGTGACAAACATAAAATTGGATGATGTAGACAAAGACTGTTAAGAGAACGTAATATGTTTAAAGTAAGTTCGTTAAACAAGTCTCGATAATTCCGATATAATGTATTAATAAATAACTTAGAGACGAAACTAAAAGTTTTTTCAAAAGGAGAAATACTTATTTTAATTAGGGGACCGGTTTTAGTGTCAATCAGCGTAAAATATTTAACTACGTATTTAACTTAGGGAAAATTATTTCAATTTATGAAATAACAGGAAGTCGACGTCGAAAACTGTACTCTTGGGTTAAGATTCTAGCCCAGCCGATATGTGTAATTACAATTATAGTAGCCTGCATAGATATTGTAGCCGTCCATAGAGTCGAAATTTGCGAATAAAAATAAAATAAAACCGGCTCAAACGGAGCCGACGACGGCTTGCAAGTTCTGTCACTACAGCACGCGTCGCATCACACAGGGGTGTATTTAAGGCCGATTGCACAAAATCTTAGGGTCACTGTAATCTTACTATTTTCTATCTACGACAAACGATTTGTCACACAGCTACGAAACCGATGATCTAGAGAAAGATGGAAGTTTGAAAATTTATTTCAACAAGTGTAATAACCGTTTGGTGCAACACAATTGGTTCAAGCAAACTAAAATATGACAGGAAACAAACAGTCCACGTGGACTAGTTTATAGGCGTGTTTGCTGCTAAGATGACTAGGTTTTTCGCTACACCTGCCTCCGCAACGATGAATATACCATACCACAACTTGTGTACAGTGAACAGAGCTTCGATTTTATTGACGAGATTCAGCTCAGAAATTAAACAGATTATATCATAACGGAAAAAATGACATTTAATATTAAATACGTCTCTGTGCAACGTGTGCCAGAGTGACGTCAGATTTTGCAAGCCACCGTTCGGCTCCGTTTGAACCGGTTTTATTTTATTTTTATTCGCAAATTTCGACTCTATGGACGGCTACAATATCTATGCAGGCTACTATACCGACTGGTGTCCTAATACAATTCTCGCCCTTCAAAAGTCGTCTCAAAAATATTTATAATACACCTTAATATTTGAGTCGTAGCATTAAACAGTTTGTGACTACTATACTGTTAAACAATAGATATTTATTTTATTAGTTTAAGTGATACTTTATGTGGCGAGTATGGACGATTAAACGCCGAGCGATAGCGAGGCGAATTAAGTCCATACGAGTCACATGAAGTCACTTAAACTCCGAATGAAATACAATATTTTATTTTCAAACGATTAATCTTCTTTTGAAATGATTATTTCCTATCTTCTTGCTTCATTAAGGAATTGCCTTGATTTCACTTACCATGGTTACTATGGTTGACAACCACTATGATTTTCACATATTTATACTCCCCGGCGGAGTATAAGTAGTAGTTATACGCCGCTCAAACACGGTGTCATAGAAATAACACTTAAACCCCGATAAGAGCGTCATATAAGTGTCAGTTATATGACGTTTGAAAATAAAATTATTTACTGCGAAAAAAGAAAGCATGGCAAACATTTTTGTGGGTCTCTAGATAAAACAGGTTGGACGAAAAAAACGACAAAGGAATTTAATTTGGTACACTTTAAATAAGTTGTCACTAATAACAACAAGCTATTTCAAACCGGTCATTTATAGTATGAAATAAACATGTGACCGTACGATTTTACAAACAAAACCCGTCTTCGGTTCCAATTAAATTGGAACTGTTGTGACCAGCTTCAACCTACGCGTCAGTTGGCAAAACAATATTTTCAACGAATCTTATTTGAGCAAAATTATAGGTTGTTGTTAGAATTAGATTTGAGGTCAATGGTTGTCAGGGACAAAGTTGACAGTGTTTCTTGGAAATTTGACGAGAAATACCATTATGTCTGACCGTTTTATCTGATTGATTTTCGTAGCAAATCGACAATTTAACAACGAGTGCACTAGACCCACAAACAAATAAGTATTGTATTTAATTGCAGTAGAATTATTAATAATTTTTTTCAAGTTCGGGCTCCATTTCTTGACTGCTTCCTGATGCACTTAAATAACTGATTGCAAAATTGCCTCTATCTTGAATGTTTTATCATTCGAATGGATTTTATTTCAGTGTAGTGTTCTTTGTTCGACTGTACATATCGCTTTATTGAAAGCGAGCTGGAATGTCCAGCAATTTTTATTAAAGTTTATTCGTTGATTCCTCTTTCCGATAATTCGTTTACTGCTGTTACCCTCTTGAATAATTCGTGAGCTTAACTCGTTTAATATGAAGTACAGTTTTTAAAGCTGATATTTTTATCCAGTTTCGGTTAGTCTAATGTGGAAAATTTCATAGTATGCTCTTGATGTTTTTTTTTTTCAAAAATAATGATATTCTAGGAACAATTTGTTACCTGTTGACATTTCCATTGTTTTTTGTTCCTGTATAATCTAGAGACAAATATCTTGATCTTCGTCATTAATAGTGAACAAGATTCAGGAGGTCAATAACACGTTCTTGACGCTCTGACGATTTTCTTATTTTTTCAGTGGTCTTGAACGTAAATTGATACATTTTTTTGGATCATTTAAGGTGTATGAAGGTATCGAAACTGTCGGCATGTTCCAACGTTTTTGATATTCGGAAGCAGGAGCATTAATTAGTTTTAACATTGATGTCTTACCAATCTGTCATTGCGGTGTTACTTTATTGATAAATTGCTAAAAATGCTGTAACACCGGCTGCACCTACAATTAAACATAATGGTTCGTATAAGAAATGTTGTAATATTAAATGTGCATAGTTAGCTAAGACTTCTTGGAAATTTAACAACTTGACAACAGTGACAACTATTCTCTCTCCATCAAAATCCCTCAGTAATGCAAATTGAGCAAATCTTCAAAAATCAACTTGAGACCTTTAAAAATGATTGGCACTATCAATCGTGTAGAAATCATTGAAGCAAGCGTTAAAAATTAAAAATTAATGTCGACCTGACTGGATCTCTTCGATCACAATAACGATAAAAAGCCATTCATAATTCAAAAAAGTTTTCTCATATTTTTGTCTACGAAAAAGATTTTTAACACAAGAGCCACATTATTGTTTAAAATGTTTTAATTTTATACGAATTGCCGATTTCAGATCACTTTATGAAACTCGAGTCGCAACGC